GCACACCTCGGCGAACGTCTCAGCGTCAGTGAATTGTACCTGGAGAAACAGCTGAACTGCTGTATCTTTTGCTGTGTATATTCTCAACAACAAAATAAAAAAAAAAAAAAAAAAAGAAGAAAAAAACACATTCACGTGCTAAGTAGAAGACAGACTAGGGAGCTATGGAAGGAGATTCAAGGTGGCATTGAACCCAGCCTGTGACTGGAAAACAAAGAATAAAAAACCAAACCCACTGCCATGGAGTCCATTCCGACTTACAGCGGCCCCCATGGGGTTTCCAAGGCTGTAATTTTAGGGAAGTAGATTGCCTCATCTTCCTCCCACAGAACGGCAGGGAGGTTCAACCATTGGTCAGCAGCCAAATGTCTTACCCACTATTCCGCAGAGCTCCTTAGCTTTTGACTTCGGAGTTAGCAAAGTTAGGGGCAGGATTCAGCGGGGAGGACAGAGCTAACAGACTGTGCAAAGGCAGAACGCAGAACGTACCGAGCGAGAATATTTCCCAGAGCAATATTCCGTACGACCAGACATCACTCTTAATTGTGTAGATCCCTTCAAACAAGCTTTCAGGAGCCATCCATTTTACAGGCAAACGGGCCTGCGAAAAACCCACGAGGAGAGCAAACGGTGAACTTTCCACAGATGGACATTATTCTTCCTTGTTAGCTAGAGGGTGGGGTTTCATGATCAAAGGCTTCATTTAGAAACTCCCCGAGCTCAAGTTTGCCACTTTCAAATCTACAGCCTAAAATAGCAGCGTAGTGAAAACATAGTCCTTTAACACCCTTGAACAGAGGCTTATGCTCAGAATCGGCAACTGAAAGGTTGACATTCTCTTTGTGTTTAGAACCAGTAACCAGTCAGCCCGGAGGTAAGGAGCGCAGTGAAGCCTGTGAGAGCCGGAACTCAACGGAACAGCCTTGGGTTTCCGGGTTTTGCAAGTTTTCAGCCTTTGACAGGGCGCAGTCTGACCACTTTCCTATCGCTCATTTTAGCAGAAAATATTTGTTTTCCTTCTCTGACAGGTTCCCGCCTTCCATACTTCCGGCTTCCAGAGGTTTCACCATACTAGTGAATGCGTGGCGTTATTTTGTAAAAGTATCTCCTGGAAGAGCTTTAGTGCCGTCCCTGAGAATGTATTGAGGGGACATAGGTCATCATTCCCAGAAAGAACACCAGCCCGGCTTTCGCGGCTTGAGTAACTTCCAATAGCTTGGAAGTAGGGTTTGAGTTGACTGAGTATGGTATCTGATGAGAATCAAGGTGCCAGGGTTCAGGGGATACTGAGGCAGGCACTTCCTATCGGTTCTCTTTTCATGGATTGAGGAGTCCTTCAAAGAGTACGTTATCAGATCAAAACTCTAACGATGCCCTATTTCAAGCCCTATGTTGTTGTTGTTATGTGCCGTGGAGTCGGACCCAACTCATAGTGCCCCCTCCTTGGTTTTCTGAGGTAGTGTGACTACAGAAGTAGATTGCCCCATCGTCCTTCCGAGGAGTGGCTGGTGGGTTTGAACTGCCAGCCTTTTGGTTAGCAGATGATTGCTTTACTATTAGCCCACGAGGACTCCTTTCACATTTTATTACATATGGAATATTCCTTGATGGTACAGATAGCATAAGATAGAAGCGGCTGTGAGGTTTTTTTAAGGGACCATAAGTAAAGAATGAGTGCAAGGGCAGATGTTGACTATATAATGGTGATAAAAATGGGCTTGCAGACTGGTAGACCATGTGATCCTCAGCCTATACGACTATGAGACCAGAAGAACTAGAAGGTGCCCGGCTACTACTGTCAACCGCTTGGAGGGGGATCTATGTAGGAGATCCTGGATAGAACAGGAGAATAATGTGGAACAAAACTCAAAATCATATAGAAAAAAAAAAAAAAAAAAAAGGGACCAAGTTTGTTGGTCTGATAGAGTCTGGTAGAACCCCTGAGACTATGGCCCCTAGTTGCCTTTCAGGTCTGGAATTGAACCCACACCTGTGGTTTCCAGCCAAACAAAAGACAGGCATATGAGCTGAACGTTTACCTGAGGTAGATACACTGCTTGGAGAGAACAATCATGGGAGAAAGAAGGGCTGCTTATGCACAGGGAGACAGCTCAGGGGGCAGGAGTGCATGGAGCGATGGACACTGGGAAGAGGTAACTATGGGGAGGAACTGGGGGAGGGGAGCTGGTGCATTGTGGGAAATTGCAGTCAATGTCATGAGACAAATATGTAAGTTGCTATGTGGAACATGAATTTGCTCTGTAAACTTTCACCCAAATCACAATAAATTTTGTTTTTTAAACAAAGGTGGCTTGCAAAAACACAAAATGGCAGGACAACAGCACATAAGAGCTAAGAGCCTCACGTTCCCTCTGACGACATAGTTGGAGTCACTCATGATGTCTCGAGCCAAGCCAAAATCACATATTTTCACCACTTTTCCGTGGGTCACCAGCACATTCCTGGCTGCCAGGTCTCTGTGAACACACTGTGAAGAAGAAAACCAGAGTGTTACTTACAATGAATGACCCATGTTATCACAGAATGTCATCTTTCTTCTGGTTGCAAGTTCAAGACCAGTTACAGGTGGAGGCATGGTAGTTCATTAAGATCTCTCACATCACTTGCGCCTTTCACAGTCATCATGATATATAACAAAGACTGGACAGGGGTGGCCCAGCTCTTCACCGTTCATGCTGCTTCCAGAACATTCTCAGAGGCCAAAGGGCAAAGGTTCTTAGAAAGGAGATGACATGGACTTGAATGGACTGACTGACTGTAAGTAAGAGATATGACAATGAGGTCCCAGTATATTTAGAAGCCCTTTCTAAAGGAGCTCTGACAGCACAGTGCTTAAGGCATTTGACTGCTAACCAGCATGTTGGTGGTTCAAACCCACCAGCCACTCCTTGGGAGGAAGATGGGGCTTTACTGCCTTGGAAACTCTATGGGAGTTGCTATGAGCTGCAATGGAGTCCACACCAGTGAATCTGAGTTTCGTTTTGTTTTTTTTTTCTTAAGAGTGCCCTTACTGCACTGTGGGTGGGTGTGGAGACGAGAAGTTCCATGCTGACAGGCAGATCGGTTCAGGAGTCAAATGGAGTAACACCACAGAAATCAAAGTGACCTGGCCGGCAGGAGGAATAGTACTGCAGCTGCTGGGAAGAGATGAGTGGGTTGATCCTTTGGAAAAACAAAAAGTGAATCTGGGAGGTGTGCGAGAGCGGAGTTAGAAGGAGCCTCTGAGTTGAGAGATGGTCTGGCATTAATCAAAGTGGCCTGGCAAGAAAATTAACTTTAAGAAGGAAGATTTTAAAACGAACAAAGTACAAGAAGTGCCTGCCAGCAGCTAAATGGATGAACAAAAAGGGGTCCGTGGATGCAACGGAGTATCACGCAACTGTAAAGAGGAATGAAGTCCCCATGCATGCCACAACATAGACGAGCCTAGGAAACACGACGCTGAGTGAAACAAGTCTAACACGAAAAGACAAACACT